CTTACATAACAGAAATATATGTCTCGCTTTTAGACGCCTTCATGCGCAATTTGTATTGTATCAAGGAACACATATATTAGAGAGCGACATTCCATATTGGGTCATGTAATTACAATTCATATACTAAGTAGTACAAGCTCATCATGGATATTCAGGAGCAATATCAGTTGAATACAGATCATTCACTTATTACCTCAGAGGCTGTATCGACGTCCACATTCTTATGAGTACTGCACAATATGAGACTTGTAGTTGAGGCTCGCATGTCATGCATTGATGGCTGCCGCTCAGCCACCGAGGTTGGAATTACCAAAAGAGGTGGGCGCTCTGTGAGCGAACAAGCAGGCAACAAGAATTCAGCAACCCTAACCAGGTGGCAATTGAGAAATATGTACTCATTACGTAACCATTTGAGCGGTGCGCGGACAATGCCGCATACGCTCGGTCATCGACCGAGGCGCAAAATCCAGCACGGAATCCAAGCTGAAATCTGCTCGAATCTGCGCTGGAATCTGTACCGTGAGTACCCCTATTTAGGGTCCGCCAGAATTTCGAGTCAATTTTGTTTTGACAAAAAGGTCTGTAGCTACAGTACAGACCAGTTGAGAAGTGTTTCAATAGCATGCATTGCATATTGCATTGCTTCCGAACAGCCTTCCACTGCATGCAGGAATCAATTTTCTTGCACAAAACATTGAATCAAAATTGGATTAGAAGCGAATAGCACTTATTAAATCTTATTGATGTAGAAATTGAACGGCAATTGAATGGAAATTGAAGAAAAATTCAAAGAGACAATGGAAAATGGATTACATAATCATTTCATTTCTGTTGTAGGCGCCAGAATATTGATTAGGTAAATTCACTTTTCCTTCGATTTCTATTTGATTTTTTGTACCAGAAAATCGAATACCGCATGCAGTGTTGCAAGTTACCGCCACACCGCCTGATTTCCGTCTTCCAGATACCACGAATATGCGTCAGGAGACTAGCTACAGCAAAACCGATGTTGATAGACCTCCCTCGCAGCAAGTACAGAACGGCGCTCGGCACCTCGGGGGCGACGTGCCCTAATCCCTCAGAGATCTCATTGTTCTTTGCGGATAGTGATTCACGCTGACGTCTCAATCTTCGGTCGTCCCAATGCCTATCGTGGGCACGGTGAGCCTCGAGAACTTCGGGGACACCCTTGGTAAATACTGCGACTAAGATGCCCCTGTTTACGTGGCTTATTGGTTGATGTGTGCAATCTTATAGAGGGTGTGCACCTGGAGCTGACGAAGGGGATCAAGTGCCTCACGGTGCCATACATGCAGATGAGGATCATTGGGTATCGTCAGGATCGTCGGGGAAGCAGCTGAGGGATTTATGCACGATCATATTGGGCAGATTTGCGGTGATGGCACTACGATGATCCCCGCGTGCGCCACACCCATCTGCGCGACGCATGCAGAACCGCGCACTTTATGCCGCGCCCCTGTTCCGGCCCGCAGGTACGCCCGACGCTGGGGGCGCCAAATTACCCCGTGGGGAGGTCTGGGGTATGTAATGCGGGGAAAGACGGTCCGAGGAAACTCCTGTCGCGCGTCGCGTCGCGGGAGTCGCCAGTTCTCGTTCCTGCTTGACCCACTGAGCGGTCACAGGGCGACCTAATTAATGTGGGGCAACCGCAGCCGCGGGGCCCCTTAGCTCAGCCCACGATAAATACGTAGCAACAAGCTCTTGTTGCCAGCAACTCGAGCTGCTGCCCCTGCGCCCCTTGTCAGGCTCTCCTGCATACTCCCGTCCCGAATCCCATCTCCCTGTATCCCATAGACGACCCGACCGCGAGCTTTGTGCAGTCATGGTCTGCCCGTCAGTGTCCAATGACGAGATGAAGCTCATCCTTTTGCGATCACCTGCAGCCGGCCCACGATGACCACCGCGACGCCCACCTTATGAGTCTGCGTCTCGCCCTGGGCTCCATCGTCGCCCCCGTAAGTCGTGGGCTTTGACCACGACCCCGCCGCATCTAGGCGTGCGGGAGAGAGGCCCCTCTAACGCCGCTTACAGAAGCGTCCAACGCGAGCCATGAGCAATTCGGGCACCGCGAGCCCTGTATTCCCCTACGGGACTCCCGTCACGCCCCTCCCGACGCCTGCGACGCCTGCCTCGCAGTCATCGTCGTCGAGTCCCGACCGCCATGAACAGTCTCCAACCTCTGTGAGCATGCCCATGTCGAGTCCCTGAAGATTTCCCCTTTTGAATTCTCCGTGGATGTGCGACCAATAGGGCTGACCCTGTAACCTTCGTCAGCACTCTCACTCGCCGCTTGCCTTCGCAACGACGGCTGAGCCGGACCTTCCACCAGCCGTCACAATTGTCTCTGACTCTGCCCGCACTAGCAGAGCGAAGCTCATCGGGACTCTTCAATCGAAGAGCGCGTTCGATGCGTTGGTTCATGGATCCTGGGTGTAGATAGAGTGAGCTTCTCCTTCCGGAACACTTTTCTTACGTTTGATTATACACTTTTCCCGTACCCGTACCACCATGTTTTCTGCGCGGACAACAATATACCTGTGTAATCTTATAGACGTGCTATCGTGTACTTGCCCAAATGCGTGTAGGAGTGCCGCGAGACTCAAGACCTGCACATCCTATTGCTTCGTCTGGGCGGCTCGACTTACCTCGAGTGTCCATGGATTCATTGAGCTCGTCTCTGCGGCTTCACGCCAACATCAACGACATACAAGCTAACCACGCAGCACTTTGCGCTGCTTCTATCGTGCGTGTTTCTGAGACTACCTTGTCGCAAGGCTGTCGCTTTTGTCGTCACCCGTATCATAAATGTTTTCTGTCTCTCGAGTGCGGTTTGTGTTAGACGTGCCATGCCGGCCTCTTCCGTTCGGCCGTCTCCAGTACCCAAAGGAGTGGAAAGAGCCACAGCTTCATGCTCATTGACCCGCGCCGAGGGACCTGGGACAGTAATCTTGTGTCGGGTCATATCTATGAAATGTAGTGGGCGGTGCGGCACACTGATCTGCTTGCTTGCTACCGCCAGGAAGCCGCGAAAACTTGAATGCAATAAATTGACAAGTGCGAAGAGTGTCGCAGCTACTCCGTAGGTCTCCTTCAGTTTGCTGTCTCTTGCAGGATCAGTGTACGATATGAGACTGCAGTCTAACAGAGTTCTCAACGAACTGCTCAAATGTTAGAAGAACATTGTAAGCGGAGGCCTGAGTGACGTGTTTACAGCGTCTCTCCACGAGCTGCAAAAGGATGGGAAGCATCTCTGGGTCGCGGAGGATTGTTAAATCTAATGCGGGACGAGCGCACTGTACAAGACAACGAATGTATTGACTTCAGTAGGCCGTAAGGGACGAACTGAAGTCGACCTACGCGCGAGAGCGAGAGTCCTACAGTACCAAAAGAGGGGATTGTATAGTAAGCCAAACAATGTCCAAACAATGTCCGGGCTGCGCCACAGGCGCATCACCGCCAGACGTCTCGTACGAACGAGCGTCTGTGTGGAGGGCTTCTCGAACATTCGCCCGAGTCGCCTGCGCCAGAGCTTGCGCTCTAACACTCCCCCTCAAGCCCTGCGCAGGCCAAAGAGGGCAATGAGTTTCTCGACCTTCGTGCGTGGGAGAGCCTTCGTGAGAATGTCGGCAAGCATGTCGGTAGTGGGTATGTATGTGATCGACGCAGCGCCGGAGTCTTGTACGGACTGAATGAACCGATATCGGATATCAATGTGTTTGGTCCTGGCATGCAGCAGTCCAGAATCAACGATGGCGATTGCACTCTGGTTGTCGCACTTTAAAGGTGTGGCTTCGCGTAAGGGTTCAGTAAGCTCGCTGATGAGGTAACGAAGCCATAGAAGCTCGTGACCAGCCTCAGAGGCTGCAACGTATTCTGCCTCGGTGGAAGACAACGCGATGATCGACTGCTTCCGAGAACGCCAGCTGATAGCGCCGCCAGAGAAGGTGAACAGGTATCCAGAGATGGAGTGGCGGTGAGATAATGAGCACCAGTCCGCATCTGTGAACCCGATTAGCCCCTCCGCCAACCTGCCAAATGTAAGGCAGAAGTCTTGTGTGCCTTTGAGGTAGCGGAGAACGCATTTTGCGGCATCCCAATGCATGGACGCCGGGTCGCTCATGAATCGAGCAAGCAGCGACACAGCGAATGCAATGTCGGGACGTGTGCCGATTGCCGCATACATAAGGCTTCCGACAAGACGGGCGTATGGGCGTGTTGCCATTTCGCTGCGCTCCTCTGCGGTCAGGTCGTACTCGAATAAGTTGACGTGGGGGTCCAATGGTATGGACAGAGCATATGCATCGGTCATCCGGAATCTTTCGAGGAGCGTGCTGATATATCCTGCTTGGGAGAGCGTGAGGGTCCGGAGACGTCGGTCTCGCCTGATCTCGAAACCCAGGAGCCACCGAGCCTCTCCTAGATCAACAAGTTCATATCGTGAGCCAAGATCCTTCTTGAGCTTGGTCATGAGGTGAACCGAGCTTGTTATGAGGGTGCAGTCATCGACATGGATGACTATGATGAGTACATCCCCAATGCGAAAGAGGAAGAAGACTCGCCTGCCTGTTTGAGGCCATATAGTGCCTTGAGAAGCTTCCAGACCCAGTCATCGCGTTCAGGCACCTTGAACCCGGGTGGTTGGCGCATGTAAATGGTCTCGTCGAGGTCTCCGTTGAGGTACGCATTTTTGAAGTCGATCTGGTGAATCTCCCAGTCGTTTTGAGCTGCTAGCGCTAACACAAGCCGCAGTGATTCGAGGCGAGCGGTCGGAGCTGCAGTGTTCATGTAGTCGACGCCGTGTACCTGCGAGAAGCCTTGTGCGCATGTGACAGACCGGTAGCTCCGGCTGACTCTTCCCGGAACGATTACACTACTTTCCTTTTTAATCTTCGCCCTTTCTCTGCTAATAGGCTTTCCGAGTCCTGGTATGACTCCAAGCCCCATAAAACTTCTCTTGCTTGGTAAACGAACTGTAAATTTTACCTACTCTCACAGTACTTAACGAGCTCATCTGTACTGCGTTCGGTAGCGTACTTCGGAACCCAATCGCAGACTTATAACCTGTCTGGCCCGCTGTGCGAACTCTCCCTAGTGTGCCGCCACCGACTTTCCTCTTAAGGAACGCGAGCGTCACATATTTTTGACAGTTCCTCTACTGCTTTAAACCGAACCAACTCCTCTGCTTAGTCGCCCTCGGTCTGGCTACACTCGAGTCTGATCAACTCGACACTCCGACTCTAGGCGACTCTTTTTCACATCAAAACGACTTCGACAACCCAGCAAAACCCCTTAGCTTCAAAATGTCGCAAATTCCCATTGCTACTCGCTACAACTTGAGGTCCCGCCGAGTTGCGCCTTCGCCGACTCCTAGTATGGACGCTCTTCCAGGTGAGTACCCTCTCAGCAATTACCAAAATAGTGGCAGTCGGCCGCAAGGCGACGTCACTGACACGGATGAACAATCCGTCTCCGGACGAGTTCAGCCCGGGCTGCTCTACAGCCGGGTTGTCTCTCCGCGTATTCCCTCTCCTGTTCCAACAGGGGAGGCGGCGGTGTCTTACGGCCCTTACCGGTCGCTGAGCCCGCTCTCTTCGCTCACGGCTCCCGAGCCGAGCGTCGAGGACTCGCAGTCGCAGGCGGAGGCGCATTCCCCTGTGATCAAAGTCGAGGATGATGGCGGCGGAGAGTGGATTCTCTCCCACCGTGGTCGCCATGGCCGGACGGCGTCGCAGAGTCCGACGCGCGTCCCCCGCACTGCAGGCGGGCGTGCCGAACCCCTGACCACCGACCAGAGAGCGGTTGTCAGGATGGCCGAGGACTCATTGAGTCCGGCCGAGCGGGAGCGTCTTGAAGAACGCTTCCGCCTAGTCCGGGAAGCTCACGCTGTCGAGCAACCGGCGTCGTCCCGAGGCGAAGGGCCCTCGTCCGGGAAAGGGAAGACTGTCGATGCCCGTGAATGGGGAGCAGTCGGTATCCCCTTGGAGGAGCTGGATCCAGAGACTCAGCTCCGGGAGTACGAGCGCCTCAAGGGCGCGGTTTCTATCGCTAATACCTCTGCCACTGGCAGCCAAGCAGAATGGCCTGAGACACCAGGTCAGCAGAGTCAGAATAACAGTGATAAGGAGAACGCACCTCCTTCGATCTTCGCTCCACAGCCGCGCAGGGCATCTCCTGCAGCACGAAGTATGAATGACCCTTCGCAGCGGCTCGACGCCATAGAACGGCAGCTTGCCGAACTGGTCGCTGCTCTCAGTAGCGCGGCGGCTGCTGCGCCCGGGAGGGTCCTGCAACCTACGACATCGGATGGCCTTGATTCGCGTGGCGCCGCTGCGGGTACTCCTCGGCGTGTTAGCTCACAGCCCGAACAGGCTGTACGCCGCACGACTGCACGGACTCCCAGTCCATCTCGCTCCAAGGTAGTTGAGGGACGAGCCGACTCGCTCGTCAAGCCTGTATACCAACTCGAGCCTGGCAGCTACCTAGGTCGCGCGCTCCACGGGTTGGAGTACTCGGATAGTGACGGGTCTGATGACCCGGATTCCTCTTCCTCGGAGTCAGAAGGATCGTCGCCCCGTCGGTCATGTGCAAAGCGTGGTAAGAAATCTCGCAAAAGCAGGATCCCAGTGCTGAAGCCCCGGGACCCGGACGTTTACGACGGCGCGATGGACATGCAAGTCCTGCACAAGTTCCTTAAGCAGGTTACGGCGTATCTGACAGGTTACGACGTACCGAGACGACGGCGAGTCGCTACGCTCGCGAACTTCTTGGGTGGAAGGGCATATGAATTTTATGTAGTCTCGGTGTCTGATCGACCCGAGGATTGGACTGTACACCAGTTCTTTACGGAGCTCTTTAATTATTGTTTTCCTGTTACTTTCCGTGCAAAAATGCGAAGTCGACTGCGCAACTGTCAACAGCGTGAGCGGAATGTAAAGGAATATGTCCACGAACTTGAAGGACTTTTCCAGCTGGTCGGAGTTCTATCTCCTGAGGAAAAAGTAGATAAGCTCTGGTACGGGCTGAACCCCTACATACAGAGCGAGCTCTGGCTCAAGGAGCTGAACCCCCTCCACTCCAAGTGGAAAGAAGTGGTGGCCATGGCTGAGATCGTCGAGATTGCTAAGTCGATACCCGGAGGTGGGGGCGGTAAGGTCGCCTCCAGAGGTAGCAATGGACCTGAGACTTCCGGAGTCGGCTCTCGACAGCCAGGGCATAATGGGGGGGCTACGGGACGACGGACGGACCGTGGTCCCCGACGTCCTCAGCAGCAGAACAGCTCGACATCAGAGCCGCGCATGAACGGGCGAGACAGCTCGATGCCAGCACGCACCTATGACCGTGGCTCGCGGATGACTGCCGGACCACGTCGGGACAAGGGAGGTCGCCCAACCCCCTCTGCCCCGAAGATGTCGGATCGGGAAAGAGCTTCTCTGGCCGCTGACGGCAAGTGTTTCGAGTGTCAGGAGGTCGGACACCTCGCGCGGAACTGTCCTCGTCGTGCGCGGGTGACATCGTCCTCCAAGGGTCGCCCACCGGGGGTCTCCTCGTTTAGCGTGGAATTTGGTCACGCCGAGACACTGCGGGAGCTCGCTGAATCTACAGTAAGTGTGGATGAGCTCGCCCTACACCACATTGTTGTAGGTGACTCCCTTGAGGATGATGATGTTGAGGGACAGTGTGATGAGTCGGAGGCCTCTGATTTGCTGCCCGAGTTGGAATCCATCCTGGACGCCGACTCGTCTGGGGGCATTTCCGACAATGATTGTGAGCTCGTAGCCTATGACGAGGATTACCTCACGACGTACCTGCCCCCGACGCGACATGAAGGACGAGTGCACACGCGCTTAGGCAACCTGTATACTGAGAATGCGATGCGCATTCTTAATGAGTGCGGACACTCCCATCATGACAGTCTTATGGACATGCCTGATGATGAGGAGATCACTCTCGTCACCCAGGTTAGTCCTTCAGAGTGTCGGGTATGCCGAGTCGAACGGGATGACCCGCTTCCAGTCTCCTGTCTGCGCGACCCCAACTTCGACCTCGCGCGATGGTGGCATCATCAATGTACGTCATGGGCTGAATACGCGGACCATTTGCCTCGTCCAAGTACGAAGGTTGGCCCCGCTCTTGTGCGTGGGGTAGCGCGGGTACTGAATGAACATGTTCCTGTCCCTGAGAGCGAACTGGAGGATATCCGTACAATGGACCGCTTTTGTTGTTTTCAGCGGGATGGGTATGTCGAGATACATGACCTGTATCTGTCAGCCGAACTGTGGGTAGATAATGAGGATGTCGAGAATGTTTTTCTGGACTTACCAAACTTTTATGCCTCGCACATGAGTCGTGCCTTGCGCCCTCTACCTTTCGAGCTTGATGACTTGGAGGGTGAGTTAGCTGGGCTGTTCTACTCGCAGTTGCCGGCTGACTGCATTCCCACCATCGAGCTGAATGCAGTGAAGGTCACGTCATCGGATGCGCTGCCCGCGTTGCAAAGGAATGCAGCGAATACGCGAGACTTTAAGCGTCTCATACCGGAGCCCGTTGTGGTCGTTGTTCAAGTCAATGGGCACTCCGCTCGGGCTCTGTTGGACACTGGCTCACTTGCTGACTTCATGTCGACAAGGTTTGCACACCAGATTGGGGTGAAGACATTCGAGCTTGAAAAGCCGTTGCCCGTACACCTCGCGGTCCAGGGTTCTCGCGCGAAGATCAACCTTGGTTGCACGGCCGACCTCGCTTACCAACGTGTTCGCACCGCTCGCTACTTTGATGTTGTGAACCTTTTGAATTACGACCTGATTCTAGGGACTCCATTTTTCTATCAGCACAAAGTTACGATAGGATTGAACCCTACCGCAGTGCATATCGGCAGCGATGCCGCGCTCCCTCTTGAAGGGAAGCGATTGCGAGTGTTGGAGTCGCGCGCAGCCGACGTTTATGAGGGTCACCTCGAACGCGTGCGACGTGAATTGCGTGAGTATGCGGCCCCGATCTGCACATCTGCTATGGACGCGCCTTTGCCCCCTCTCCGGGCGATCAATCATACCATCCCGCTGAAGGATGAGTCCGCCGTCTACCCTTGGAGGCCATCAAAGTGCCCCGAGGCACTGCGTCCACTTTGGGCGGAGAAGCGTGATGCCTACTTGAAGACCGGCCGTTGGCGTGTGTCGAATGCTCAGAATACTTGCCCGATGTTGCTGTTGCCTAAGCCAGGTACTGGAATGAGTGGTGCGCTGCCTAGGTTGCGTGCTGTCGTCGACCTGCGATGGCGCAACAAGAACACCATAAAAGTCAGCTCACCGCTACCGGATATGGACGGCATATTGCGGCGTGTTGCCCGTAAGCCCTGTCGGTCCGCGCTGGATGGGAAGGATGCATATGAGCAGATCCGTGTTGAGCCAGATCATGTCGAGCGCACCGCTATGGCGACTCCTGATGGCAACATGGTCAGTCTTGTACTGCAGCAGGGTGACTGCAATGCAGTCGCGACGTACCAGGCACTGATGAATCATATTTTTGCGCCGTATCTGGGCCACTTCATGGATGTGTACCTCGATGATATTATCATTTACTCGGACACGATTGAGGAACATGTTATTCACGTTCGCACTGTTATCGACGTGTTGCGCCGCGAGAAACTGTATCTCAATGCGGACAAGCAGAAATACCTGTGCCGGGAGATGAAGATTCTTGGCCGTATTGTTGATGACGATGGGATTCGGATGGACCCTGACAAAGTTGACTCCATCCTGAACTGGAAGGTTCCTACCTCCAAGGAGCTCCTACGGGGGTTTCTTGGGTCCGTAGGGTATCTTGCGGACGATGTCGCCACAGTGCGCATCCCAATGGGGATCCTGACATCACTGACGGGGTCTGATTCCAGCTTCGGCTGGGAATTTACGCATCAGCGTGCTTTCGAGGCGATCAAGCAGCTGTTGCATGCTTACCGGGAGCATCATCGCGTCCCACTGGATTACTCTGCTGGTGCGGCTGCTATCTGGCTGGTGACGGATGGCTCCCATGGTGGGATAGCGGGTGTGGTGTGCCAGGGTGCTGACTTTCGTAATGCGAAAGTGGCCGCTTTCTTCTCCGCGAAGCTGACGTCGGCGCAGTCTAACTACCCCGTGCACGAGATCGAGATGCTCGCGGGTGTGGAATCGATGCGTCGTCACCGTGACATATTGTCGGGTTGTCAGTTCACTTGGGTCACTGACCACAAGGGGCTAACACACCTTCTTACGCAGCGGAATCTGTCCGGGCGCCAGGCTCGCTGGCTAGAGCTCGTATCCGAGTTTGACTTTGAGGTTCAGTACGTCCCCGGGGTTGAGAATGTCTTAGCAGATGCGCTCTCACGCATATACTCCAACGACGCACCTGGAACGGTGCGCGCGGCGTCTGAATACACACAATATGATGATTGCGAACCCTACAGCCAACGGCTGGTGGCCCATGCAATTTCTATGCCTGTTCTTGCGGGTGTGGAGGCGCACGCTGTTTCCGTGTTGCAACCGGCCGCTCTGTCTGCTGTTGACCAGCGTGCACCACGTCGTGCTCGTCGTCAGCAGGTGGCTGCTGAGACGGGTCGACCAGAGACATCCCGCGAGTTTGCGAAGCGTATCCGGCGTGTTGTCCTTCACGGTCCGCGTGCTGAACAACAGGAGGGCGAGGACCCGTTGGGTCAGCCAGACACTTCGGAGCATAGCGACCACTCACCTAAGGCACCTGTCGGGGCAGTTGATATGGACAACGATGCAGGTGTCGTGGTTTCAGCACAAGGGCTGGAGGGCGTGAACTCTACGCCTGATTTGGCATCTACGGTACCTACACTGCTAGAGCATATCAGCGAAAGCTCTGATGGCATCGACTTACCCATTGCTCTCACCGGATCATATTCGCGTGATGAGTTCTTCCGAACTATACTTGAAAACCTGAAACACTACAAGAATTCCATAGTGCGGGATGATCTTGTTTACATGCGAGATAAAGGACTAGAAGTCCTCTGCATACCGAACATCATAGTAGATGGTCGTAATGCTCGCGAGATCACTATTTCCCATGCACATTCTCTGCTGGCTCACTTGGGGTCATACAAAACACTAGGGCTGCTTCGTGACTATGTATGGTGGAAGACAATGACACACGATGTACAGAAGTTCTGTGAATCGTGCATGACATGCAAAAGGAGCAAACCTTCTAATCAGAAGCCTTACGGACTTCTTAACCCATTGTCGGTACCGAGTGCACCATGGGATGCAATAGGTATTGACTTTGTTGGACCTTTACCTGAATCATCAGACCGGGATGCGAGCTATGACTCGATCACCGTGATCATTGATCTGCTGACAAGTATGGTACACCTTGTACCAAGTCGGATTAACTACACGGCAAAACAGGTAGCCGAGTTAGTCTTTGCAGAAGTTTACAAACTTCATGGCCTCCCAAAGTCTATTGTCAGTGATCGTGATGTGCTATTCACAAGCCTGTTTTGGACACACCTACACAAACTTATTGGTGTCGAGTTGCGCATGTCTAGTGCTTATCACCCCGAATCAGACGGGTCAACTGAACGGGCAAACCGAACAGTGACCCAGATGCTTTGTCAGTGTATTAGCCCCAATCAGAAAGACTGGGTTAGTAAGCTACCCGCAATCGAGTTTGCCATCAATCTGGCAAGGTCAGATAGCACAGGCTATGCACCATTCTTCCTTAATTCCGGTCGGATGCCCCGTTCACTCATTTGGAATACTCTGCCAAAGGAGGAATACCCAGCAGTCCGGGCATATGCCCAGCAGGTGAAAAATGCCGTTATGGCTGCTCATGATAGTATCATATCTGCTCGGGTAAAACAAGCCCGTAACGCGAACCGCCGTCGCCGACCAGCACCATTTGAAAAGGGTGACTTGGTCTATGTCTCCACTAAGAACATATCCTTACCCAAGAGGTATGCCCGCAAGCTCGCGCCAAAGTATATTGGCCCTTACCTCATCGTACGCGATTTCGGTAATAGCTCATACAAGCTTGACTTGTCCGCTAACTTGCGACGACGAGGAATTCACTCTGTATTTCATGCCTCTTTATTACGAGTACATGAGCCTAATGACGACTGACTGTTCCCCGGATGACTTGACAGTCAAGTTGCCGAACTCGAGGATCGGGATAATGAATGGGCAATTGCCCGGATCCTATCACATACAGGTGCGCGGGACCAAGCCTTGTTTCAGGCTGAATGGAAATCCGGTGATCGAACGTGGGTGCCGTATTCCACCATTGCGCACCTGGATGCTTTGAAAGCGTACCTTGAATTGCTGGGTGTCGCGGATGTGGCGCACCTTGCGGAAGGAAGTGGAGTGCCTCCGGCTGACCCTCAGCTTTACTTAGGGGGTCTTGAACTTTTTACCGATCGCAAGAAACCTATAAGAAGGGTACGAAAGCGAACTCGAGGCCGTCAACAAAATTGCACATCAACAAAGGTCTCGCACTCACCCGACTCTATCCCGCTATCACTTCTTGGACTTTTTGCTGTCCTTCCCCCTCCTCTAAACATCATACTCTCACCCACTATGTCCAACGACTATGTTTCCCGCCTCAAGAACGGGGACCTCATCATCTATGACTCCACCACCGAAATTCGCTATCAGTTTATTCCCGAGATACTCTGCCAATACTCCCGTTTCGACTTGTCCTTGCGCCAGGGACACGGTGTTGTCGATGGTCGCCTTCACACCGACCAGGTGTTCATGCCGGGAGGTTAGAATCCTGCGAATATCAATTCTGCAGCATCGGTGCTGACCTGAAAGTCACAGTGCGTGGGAAGGCTATCCCGGTCGACTCACTGGCACCCTTGGTTGCCCCAACCGAGGCCAAAGCCGACATCTTGCAGCCCGAGAGACAGAAGCTGCATCAGTTTCTTCTCGAGACTTCAGCTCGTCGTGAGATGAAACAGGCTGAGTTCGTCGCCAAGAAGAAGGCCGCCCGGCTCCAAGATAGGGCTGAGAAAGTCCGCTCTAGCTCTAAGCTGTTCGGTCGCATCCTCCAGTTCGGGGATGTGGCGAAGGCCCGGCAGGCGAGCCGAACCGATGACATTGAAGCCTGCGAGAGCGACATGGATGAAGGACGGGTCGTCGAGGGCACGACAACGAGTGGTGGCAGTGTCAGAGAGACGACGAAGACCAGCGTGTCAAAGAAGGGCAAGGCTGTGGCCGTTGCCGACGCCGCTAAGCCTGCTGAGGCTGGCACGTCTAAGTCCGGCACACTGCGCTTCAAGAAAAGCAAGCCCGTGACCGCTGACGCCATTGACAAGAACGCAATGGTCACCGAGGAGTAGGACTTCGCTCTGCGAAGCCCGGAGGGCGTATGTGACAGACCGGTAGCTCCGGCTGACTCTTCCTGGAACGATTACACTACTTTCCTTTTTAATCTTCGCCCTTTCTCTGCTAATAGGCTTTCCGAGTCCTGGTATGACTCCAAGCCCCATAAAACTTCTCTTGCTTGGTAAACAAACTGTAAATTTTACCTACTCTCGCAGTACTTAACGAGCTCATCTGTACTGCGTTCGGTAGCGTACTTCGGAACCCAATCGCAGACTTATAACCTGTCTGGCCCGCTGTGCGAACTCTCCCTAGTGTGCCGCCACCGACTTTCCTCTTAAGGAACGTGAGCGTCACAGCGCAGAGGCGAGCCTTGAACTTTGCTATGTTATTGTTCTCGTCTCGTTTCTTCCGTAGTACCCATGTAGACCCGACAACGTTGGTGCCTGGCAGTGGCGGTGGAACAAGCTCGTAAGTACCCATTGATTCAATGTGCACGAGTTCCTCGTGCATTGAGTCCAGCCAGGCCTCCCGCTCAGGGCCGCTTAGTGCTTCCCGGTGAGAAGGTTCATCGCCCGGCATGGCAGCAAGAGCATAGGTGACGCTTTCGTCAGCTGCGAGGCTTCCGTGTTCCACTATTGATGAGGGAAGCTTCTGCGCTCCCCGGCCGCCCGCGGTGCCCACACCGGATTGTAGGTCCTTGATCCATTGTGATGGCTTGCGTGTGCGTTGTGCTCTCGGCTCGGGCTGTACGTGTGGAGGTGGGTCACAGCCTTGGTCCGTATCAGTGCCAACAATGGGTTCTGGGACAGGTACCACAGTCTTTTCAGGTGCATGCTGGCCAGTTGACTCAGCAGGAGGGTGCTGATCGTTTTGCAAGTGCTCCCCCTCGAGCGGCACATCAACTGCGGTGGTGGAGACATCCGGCTCAAAACGGATATCGTGCTCGATACTGATGGTCCGCTTGTCTGGCCAATACACCCGGTGACCCTTGCTCTACAGATCAAAGCCAACCCAGCAGCCGCACTTGGACCTGACACCAAGCTTGGAAAGGGGATCAACATGCACCCATACAGTGGCACCAAAGCGAGAAAGGCCGGCGAGGTTAGGCCTCTCCCCAGTAGCTAGCTCGTGCGGAGTTGTTCCGGGGGTGTTGCTCGTTGTTGTGCGGTGTCACGAGTTGGTACTGTCGCAATTTGGGGTCAAGCGACTAGGGAAAACCTAAAGCTGGGGGTGTCCAACTAATTCTCACCAAAGCAATGGTGAGCGATGGTCAAACCTAAGGCTAGGGACAAGAAATGTATTAGTTAGTAAAGGTAAGTAAAGGATACAAATGAGAGCTTACTGACCTAGGGACAAGAGGTCAAAACTGAGGTCCCTAGGGCAGCAGAGGCCAGCTTATATACATGGGGAGATAAGGGCATGCTGTGCACACTGGTCCGTGCGCAGCTGGTCCGTGCACAGCATGCTGACGCGGCCCCGGGGGCCAGTGAGTCAGAGCGGCTGTGTCAGTGGAGCCCGAGCTGTGCCGTGCACTGCCGCCCCATCTAATCTAATTGTACTGTAGATAACAATGCGTCCGTATCAGGCATGTAGTACAGAGGTCGCAGGTTCGAGCCCACAAAAAGGGAAAAATTAAAAAATGGCTAGGCGCCGTACCAAGTTGTGACATTACCCCCCCTCAATGGTGCATGACCTCATGCAAGGCGCCCTTGCCCATCTCCCACCCGGAGCGGCAGTGTGCTTCAGTCAGCGGCGAAGGCATCGGCTGAAAGTGGAGACCACCAAAGACTGCAGCGTTGAGTCGATGAGGGGCGTTCGGGTTCTTCCGGTGGAAGTCGGCTATGAGGGCCGGCGCATTGGCAACGTTGTGCGCCGGTTCCCATGACATATGCGAGTCGTCATAACCCTTCCACTTGACGAGGTACTGTAGCTGACGCCGGAAGATCCGCGAATCCTTGATTCGCTCAACCTCGTACTCCTCGTCGCCCTCAACCTCGATTGCAGGCGGCTCCTCCGGCTCCTGGCCCGGGATATCGCTACGTGTGTACTTGCTAAGCAAGGAGACATGGAACACCGGGTGCACCGGCACTGACTTCGGCAGGACTAATTCATAATCCAAGTGTCACGAGTTGGCACGGCACCTAGCCGTTTTTTAATTTTTTCCCTTTTGTGGGCTCGAACCCGCGACCTCTGTACTATATGCCCAATATGGACGCGTCGTTATCTACTGTACGATCAGATTAGATAGGACGGCAGTGCACGGCACAGCTCGGGCTCCACTGACACAGCCGCTCTGACTCACCGGCCCCCGGGGCCGCGTCGGCATGCTGTGCACGGACTAGCTGTGCACGGACCAATGCGCACAGCCTCCCCTAAACATCCCCATGTATATAAGCCGGCCTCTGCTGCCCTAGGGACCTCAGTTTCGACCTCTTGTCCCTAGGTCAGTAAGCCCCCAGTTGTATCCTTTTCTTACCTTACTAACTAATACATTTACTTGTCCCTAGCCTTAGGTTTGAGCCTCGCTCACCATCGCTTCAGTGAGAACCAGTCGAACACCCCTCGCTTCCAGATATTCCCCTGTTGCTCGACCTCAAGTCGCGACATTAGGTCGAAACTCCACAAAGCTGCCGGCGTTCCTCGGAACCCCACACACTCACTTTCCTTTCCCATAGGTTGGGTGGTGCGCACCCCTACTGTACCCTACGATATGTAAATAGCCTACTATACATCGCCAACACTAGAGAGACGAACTCTTCAGTACCTGCGCTTCAGTGAGCGGTACTTGTCCTCATGGACGCGTAGCCTTGGTTCCTGCTGCATAATAGTCAAAAGCAGTATTGGGCCCTACGTGAACTGCGAATCTCAGTGTCATCTTGGGCGCCGTAGGTGTAAGCTAGTATAGCACGGCCTTTCGTAGTACGCGCACCTCCCCTTCCTCCCCCCATCCAACGTGGCTGCCTGCCAAGGCCAAGTCCACGCATTCGACTCACAGGACCTCATCGACGTCTACATCCCAGACGGTCCTGAGACTATCATCTACCGTTGCGAGCAGCAACCGTGCCCGAACCGAACCCCCCGATCGATCCCAGAAGACTATCCGCGCTACAAAGCGATCCGACGAGCACAACACCCGCTTGGACCCCGAAGCACCCTCGCATCTCGATCGGCCTCGCGGCACTCTCGCCCTGTCTCCCCTAGCTCCCGCCTCCCTCAAACTGTCGTCACCAATCCAGGTCAAGCGCGAGGAGATCTCCCTCCAGACCCTGCGCCAGAGCCTGAGCCTGAGGAGGGTGAGGGTGAAAAAGGAGTCTCGGAGTCCGAGTCCGAGGATTCTGTTGGGTCCGCCTCGCCGACAGCGCTCGCCCCCGCGTCAGCAGTCCCTGACGTACGTGACACCACCGCCGAACTTCCTTTGGCGCCTTCACCGCCGACTCCGCCGAGAGGCCGCTCGAGCACTCACTCCTCTCGAAGTTCGACCAGCGGAAGGCCACCACAGCCGCCTCCGCCCCCGCAGCGTCCTCCGTCCCCCCCAACGCCGATAATGTCCTCCCCTGCAGCCGCCCCCGACAAGGAGACCCTGAAGCTCCTCCTCCCCCTCCGCTATGACGGCAAAACCGTCATCGAATGCGACAGGTTCCTGTCGCAACTTCACATCTATTGGTTGATCAACACGTCGTTGACGACCATTGAACTCAAGGTGCAGGTTGCACTTAGCCTGCTCAACGGAGATGCCCGCGCCTGGGCCACTTCATACTTCGCCCAACTCGCACCAGTGCAGATGGGTGTACAAGGGGTCACAACCCCCTTCAGGAACGAAGCGGCCTTCACCGCTGCCTTCAAGGCTCGCTTCGGAAATCTCGATGATGCGGCGGTAGCACAAGTGGAGCTGGCGAAGCTCTGCGCGGACAAATCGGTCCGCGAGAAACGCACCGCTGCGGAGTTCTCCGCGCTGTTCAAGGGTCCGGCGGATCGCTCTGGGTATGGGGACCTGGAGCTATGCAACAAGTACCTGAGCGGCATCCCCTCCCGCGTCTATCGAAAGATCGAGCTCGAGACCTTCACCACGTGGCGAGCCGCTGAAAAGCGAGCCACTGAGGTCGAGCAGATCCTTGACATCAGCCGGGCCCGTCAGCCCGAGTTGAACAACTTCTTCTCGGCTCGAGGTCGAGGTCGCGGTGGGGCACGTGGTGGTGCACCCTCGTCGCACGCAGCTTCGGCCAGCATCAATGCAGCCGTCGGAAAAGGAGACTTCCCCGGCACATGCTTTGGCTGCGGGAAGCAAGGGTACCGTCGTTTTGAGTGCCCTAACTGTAAGGATAAACCTTACACAAAACGCGCCGACGCGCGGGCTACAGTTGCCTCGGGTTCCACCCAGGCGGCGACAAGCGCCCCCGTCGCTTCATCCTCGGCAAGTATAAGCGCCGCTTCAGCGAAATCGGATAGTTCCGAGCTGGCGGACTTAATAGCACAGATGAAGTTGATGCGCGAGGAGCTTGAGCACTATCGGGCAATGAAGGAGGAGTCTTTTTGATCCGGTCCGCGCTTCGTGCCGCACGCGTCGGACCGCGTAATAATAACATGTACAATGTATTGGCGACTGCAAATGTGTACGAGTTGGACCATGGGTCCCAGCATTTCCACATCCCGGTGTGCCTCAAAGGAGAAAGACGGCACAAGGACATAGTTGCAATGGTGGACAGCGGAGCCACCACAAAGTTCATCAACAAGCGTTTCGTCACGGAGAATCGAGTACGAACGCGGAAATTGAAAGAGCCAATTCCGCTTTACAATATCAATGGAACGCTCAATAAAGACGGAAGCATCTCGGAGGTAGCCGTGCTACAGATGCAGATAGGAGAGCACGTCAAAAAGACAGTGTTCACGGTCACGGACATAGGTCCAGAAGATGTGATCGTCGGGTTGGATTGGCTGCGAGAGCACAACCCCGAAATCGATTGGGAGTCAGGCTCCCTGAAATTATCACGATGCCCTGCAACGTGCAGTGCCAGGAAGACTGGCCAAATGGAGCAAGCAGCAACTGCGCGTGATACAGGGGTCAGGCCCACGGCGCGCAGACGCTCGCAGAAGTCCAGACGGTCGGTCATAGGTGCTTGCCGGAGTAAGGTGCTCCCGGACTTCGAACCCGAAGATGATCCGGTGGAGGTAGAGTGGGACGAAGCTGACTTAATCGAGGCCTGGGAGCAGGGTGTCACGCTTCCCGGCACCCCTCAGCTGTTCGTCGCAGCGGGGCACACGTATTCCCAGCTGTTTGCTGAGAAAGAAATCAAGAAGAAGGTTGTCAAGACCGCTGAGGAGTCAGTACCTAAACAGTACCACGAGTTCCTGAATGTCTTCTCCAAGGAAGCATCAGAACGGCTACCCGAAAGGAAGCCTTACGATCACGCGATCGAACTCGTGCCCGGCTACTCGACGTTCCACTCAAAGGTGTATCCCCTGTCGAACAACGAACAAGAGGAACTGGACAAGTTCCTAAAGGAGCAACTAGCGAAAGGCTACATACGGGAGTCGAAATCGCCCATTTTGTCCCCCTTCTTCTTCATCAAAAAGAAGGAAGGGACACTTCGACCCGTGCAGGACTACCGCCGCTTGAACGCTATCACGGTCAAAAACCGCTACCCTTTGCCACTGATTGCCGAGATGGTAGATAAGCTCCGCGGTGCCACGCTCTTCACAAAGCTCGATGTCCGATGGGGATACAACAATGTCCGGATCAAAGCCGGTGACGAATGGAAGGCGGCCTTTGTGACTAACCGAGGGTTGTACGAGCCCTTGGTGATGTTCTTCGGCCTCACCAATTCCCCCGCGACCTTCCAGGCAATGATGAACGAGATCTTCCACGATCTCATCGTCGGTGGAAAGATCCTCGTATACCTTGATGACATACTCATCTTCTCTACCAACAAGGAGGAGCACGAAAAAGTCACACGCGAGGTTCTTCGTCGCCTTCAGGACAACGATCTATTCCTGAAGCCTGAGAAGTGCGAATGGGACGTTCCCAAGGTCGACTATGTCGGCTATGTGTTCGGTGGCGATGAGGTAGCAATGGATCCCGCGAAGCTAAAAGGAATTAATGAGTGGCCGGTACCCCGGAACAAAAAGGACGTTCAGAAGTTCCGGGGGTTCTCCAACTTCTACTGCCGCTTCATTAAGGACTTCGCTAAGATCTCGCGACCACTCGACCAGCTCACAGGGAACGACCCATGGCATTGGGGCAAAGAGGAGCAGCACGCCTTCGACGAACTCAAGCGGCTCTTCGCGACGACTCCAGTCCTAGCACTGTACGATCCTAATCGGGAGACGCGCATCGAGGTTGACGCCTCGGGCTACGCCACTGGTGGCGTGTTGATGCAGAAGCAGGATGACGGCAAATGGCATCCCATCGCCTTCAGATCCCATGCAATGGATCCGGCCCAGCGGAACTACGAGATCTACGACAAGGAGATGCTTGCCATCATTGAGGCGCTAGACGATTGGCGCCACTACCTCGAAGGGTTGCCCAATCAGTTCGAGATCGTTACCGATCACAAGAACCTCGAGTACTGGCGTACATCTCAGCACCTCACGCGTCGTCAAGCACGATGGTCACTATTCCTGGCTCGCTTCGACTTCCGCATCACGCACAAGGCCAGAACGTCGAATGGAAAGGCTGATGCCCTGTCGCGACGATCGGACCATCAGATTGGCGATGAGGACGATAACACCAATCAGGTAGTTCTCAAGCCGGAGCGCTTCCGCATCGCCTCCGCCAGACGCGGCCATGCCTCGGTGACGGCCGATCAGTCGCTTCTGAAGCGCATTTGGGAGTGTTCGGAGAAGGATCGGGAGGTGGCCGAGGCACTTGAAAAGGTGCAGGACCTCGGGCCGCCCCGGCTACAAAGGGGTTTTGAGGAGTGGAATGCCGAACAAGGGCTCCTGCTGTTCCGCGGGTGCGTGTACGTCCCAAAGAACGCGGAGCTCCGGCGGGATATAGTCAAGATCCACCACGACTCGCCGATCGCCGGTCATGGCGGTCGTGCCAAAACCCTGGAGCTCGTGTCGCGGAACTACTGGTGGCCTGGAATGTCCAAGTTTGTCAATGAGTACGTAAGCACCTGCGACGTGTGCAACCGTACCAAGACATTCCCAGCCAAACCCCAGGGCCCGCTGAAGCCGAATGAGATCCCCGAGCGCCCGTGGCAGATCATCACGACCAATATGATCGTTGGCTTGCCAAAGTCTGATGGATTCGACTCGATCCTGGTTACCGCCGACCGCTTTACCAAGCAGGTCCACTTCTCAGCCTGTCATGAGACCCTGACGGCAGAAGGTGCGGCAGATCTGTACATCCGCGATGTGTTCAAGCATCATGGGGCCCCGGCCAAGGTCATATCAGACCGAGGTCCCCAGTTCGCTTCGAAATATCTCCATGCGGTGTACAAGGGACTGGGAATCGAGCCGGCGCTGTCCACAGCGTTCCACCCTCAGACAGACGGCCAGACTGAGCGCTGGAATCAGGAGATCGAGCAGTACCTGCGTGCTTTCACAAGCCACAGGCAGGATGATTGGGCAAAGCAATTGCCGCTCGCGGAGTTTGCACTAAATAACCGAGTTCACTCCGCGACCGGGCATTCCCCCTTCTTCCTGCATCAGGGGTACCATCCTGAGATCCAAGTGCAGATCAATCTGATGTCCACGATGCCCGCCGCCGCCGACCGCCTTAAGATCCTGAAGGAGATTCGCGACGACACGCGCTCTGCACTTGAGCTATCAGCTGAGCGCATGAAAGTGTACTATGATAAGCACGTGCAGGAAGCACCGGTATTCGCGCCGGGGGATAAGGACTGGCTTGATGCTCGGAACCTTAAGCTGAAGCAGCCAAGCAAGAAGCTCAGTCCCAAGCGCCTTGGACCTTATATCGTGCGGCGAAAGCTCGGAGACTTGGATTATGAATTAGTCCTGCCGAAGTCGGTGCCGGTGCATCCGGTGTTTCATGTCTCCTTGCTTAGCAAGTACACACGTAGCGATATCCCGGGCCAGGAGCCGGAGGAGCCGCCTGCAATCGAGGTTGAGGGCGACGAGGAGTACGAGGTTGAGCGGATCAAGGATTCGCGGATCTTCCGGCGTCAGCTGCAGTACCTCATCAAGTGGAAGGGTTACGACGACTCGCATACATCATGGGAACTGGCACGCAACGTTACCAATGTGCCGGCCCTCATAGCCGACTTTCACTGGAAGAATCCGAACGCCCCTCGCCGCCTCAACGCCGCTGTCTTTGGTGGTTTCAACTTTCAGCCAATGCCTTCGCCACTGACTGAAGCATGATGCCGCTCTGGATGGAGATGGGCAAGGGCGCCTTGCATGAGGTCATGCGCCATTGAGGGGGGGGTAATGTCACGAGTTGGCATGGTGCCTAGCCATTTTTTAATTTTTCCCTTTTGCGGGCTCAAACCCACGACCTCTGTACTATATGCCCAATATGGACGCGTCGTTATCTACTGTACAATCAGATTAGATAGGACGGTAGTGCGCGGCACAGCTCAGGCCCTGCTGACACAGCCGCTCTGACTCACCGGCCCCCGGGGCCGCGTCGGCATGCTGTGCACGGACCAGCTGCGCACGGACCAGTGCGCATAGCATGCCCTTATCTCCCCATGTATATAAGCCGGCCTCTGCTGCCCTAGGGACCTCAGTTTCGACCTCTTGTCCCTAGGTCAGTAAGCTCCCATTTGTATCCTTTACTTACCTTCACTAACTAATACATTTCTTGTCCCTAGCCTTAGGTTTGAGCCTCACTCACCATCGCTTCAGTGAGACCCAGTCGAACGCCCCTCGCTTTCAGATATTCCCCTGTCGCTTGACCTTAAGTCGCGACACCAAGTCTCCGAGCTTTCGCCGCACGATATAAGGTCCAAGGCGCTTGGGACTGAGCTTCTTGCTTGGCTGCTTCAGCTTAAGGTTCCGAGCATCAAGCCAGTTCTTATCCCCCGGCGCGAATACCGGTGCTTCCTGCACGTGCTTATCATAGTACACTTTCATGCGCTCAGCCGATAGCTCAAGTGCAGAGCGCGTGTCGTCGCAAATCTCCTTCAGGATCTTAAGGCGGTCGGCGGCGGCGGGCATCGTGGACATCAGATTGATCTGCACTTGGATCTCAGGATGGTACCCCTGATGCAGGAAGAAGGGGGAATGCCCGGTCGCGGAGTGAACTTGGTTGTTTAGTGCAAACTCTGCGAGCGGTAACTGCCTCACCCAATCATCCTGCCTGTGGCTTGTGAAAGCACGCAGGTACTGCTCGATCTCCTGATTCCAGCGCTCAGTCTGGCCGTCCGTCTGAGGGTGGAATGCTGTGGACAGCGCCGGCTCAATTCCCAGCCCCTTGTATACCGCATGGAGATACTTTGAAGCAAACTGGGGACCTCAGTCTGATATGACCTTGGCCAGGGCCCCATAATGCTTGAATACATTGCGGATGTACAGGTCTGCCGCACCTTCTGCTGTCAGGGTCTCATGACAGGCTGAGAAGTGGACCTGCTTCGTGAAGCGGTCGGCGGTAACCAGGATCGAGTCGAATCCATCAGACTTTGGCAAGCCAATGATCATATCCGTGGTGATGATCTGCCACAGGCGCTCGGGGATCTCGTTGTCACAGTTTCCCTAATTTTACCTAATTTTTCCGCTATTTCTGCGGACATATCAAAGGGTATAGGGACTTATCCATACTTATCCGTCCGCATATGGGTACAGCTGCATATCTAAGGGGTTATCCGCTTAAATAAGCGACACATGATCTTGTTCTGGACACATCAGGCTGGACTCTGATGCCGGACCTTTTCTAGATAGAAACCAGACTCCTTCTGGACCATGACATCATTCTGACATCATAGGTAGGAGCTAGGCTCAGGCACTAGGCCATAGGCCAGTCAATTCTGGACCCTAGGCCCAGGGCAGGGCAGGGCCAGACTATGACATCATATATGACATCATAAAGCACATGATACTTAGTAATCCTTACCCAGCTAGGTACCAGGGGTCCATTACCAGTCCCTGGGGGGTTTTCCCTCATGTATATAAGGCAGCATCCTGGGGCACCCTGTCCCCCAGTTCTATTCACTTCGTTGTTGCGCTTAACAGCATTACCTCCCCCACACTTAAGTGCTTTATCTCCCCCCCTTACCATCAAGCTATAAGGTGGGTTTATAGGTTTTGTGATAGTTGAATAGAACTGCTTTAAGGTGCACTGGGCCCTGGCAAGGGTCCCTTGCTACCTGCTTTGTTACAGGGCCTATTGGTCGTTGCTATGCCCCTATGCTGC